TTTTTCTGTCTCCTTTCCCACAACTAGATTCCAAACTATAAGAATAAAGCCTTTCTGATTGGTTGTTGCTGGCTCTTCCTCTTTGGCACAGGTCCAATCCCATCTCAGACCCTAACATATTTATTAAGCAGTGGGTAGAGAATGCAAAACTATCAGTTAAGGGTGTTAAAGAAAAGATTACTGAAGCTAATATTCTAGTCCACAGCTTGAGAAACTTGAGTCAAAAGTAGGTGGACTCGTCAAAGGAGGTCTTCGAGAGTATCTGTTATCTCTGCATCTCTGAGAAATGGGGTGGATTTCTAATATTTAGCTTTAAGCAAAAGCTCCCTTTTTACATCCTATTGGAGATACTGGGACATCCTTACATTATATATAACTCACTCTGTGTGTGTGTGTGTGTGTCTGTGTGTGTACGTGTGTGTGTGTCTGTGTGTGTCTGTGTGTATGTATGTGTGTGTCTGTGTGTCTGTGTGCGTATGTGTGTATGTGTGTGTCTGAGTGTCTGTATGTGTGTGTGTGCGAACATATATGCATGTAGAAACCAAAGGCTGCCACGGAATATCTTCTTCAATTGCATCCCCCCCCCCACCTTAAGTTTTAGATACACTGTCCCTGTGCAGTCCTGGATGGACTAGAACTCACTACGTAGACCAGGCTAGCCTTGAACTCGCAGAGCCTGTCTCTGCCTCCCAAGTTTTAAGATTAAAGATGTACACCACCATGCCTGACTTTATCTTAGTTTCTGAAACTGGGTCTTTCATTAAACCTTGAAGTATACGTGGCTAGACTGGCTGGCCTGCCATCAAGCCCAGGAATCCTCCTGTCTCTGCCTACCTAGTGTTGGGATTACAGTTATATGCTACTGTGTCTGGCTCTTTTACATGGGCCTGGGAATTGAACTCAGAGTCCTCATGCTTGTATAACAAGCATGTAAATGAATTAGGCATGTCCTTATCCAACAACTCTGAAGCTTTCACTTATCAAAAAAATATCCTTTCTAAAAATACTCATCAGAAAAATCTCCTTTCTAAAAATACTCCACTTAAAAAAAAAAAGAACAAAAAACAAATCCAGTCTAAATTTCTGCTTGAACAATCAGCTTTGTTCCTCTTCATCTTAATTTGTGATTTGTTAAAAAAAAAAAGTTTCCTTTTCATGGTGCTGGCTGGGTGACTAATTACCTCTAAGCTTTATAATTTAGTGTTAGACAATGAAAAGAGAAAAATAACAGCTCCTGGCCACCACTGATTCCTTCAGCAGCTCTCAGTTAGAAATGCAGAGACCGACATCACCTTGGGCAGCAGCCAAGTGAAACACACACACACACACACCATCTACAGACATGCTAGCACTTGGGCTTTCCCTGCGATTCCCTTGTAGACACACATGTCCATAATCAATAGCTTCTGATCACAGGTACAATATAATTAGATTATATAGTCAGATAACCCTGGCCTTACATCCTGTTGAGTTTCGTTGTTATTTTCTTGACCTTTGAACCTTTGAACCCACTGCTCAGTAGTGGCACTTCTATCTCTAAGACATTCTCTTCCAGGTTCCCCTCTTCCTACAGGTAACTATGGCTCAGGCTCAACTCTTTAGAAAGTCACCCTTTCTACAGAGAAATCATGGGTTCACAAGCCAGAGGGTGTGGTACGAACCCCACTGTTAACCATTCCATGAAGGCCAGGTCTGCCTGCTTATATTACTAGGTGATGGCTTTCAGTTTGCTTCCAGTGAAGTGTGCCCAAGGACCCAAATATTAGCATCAAATTTGGGCAGGATATGTTTATCTACCCTAGGACTGAAAGATTAAAAACCTCCCATGCATGGCCTATTGCTATTTTCCCATCTTCTCGGTAGAACCAAAAGATCAGAAGACTCAGGAAGATGATAGAACCAAAATATAAAGAGCCTGGGTACCAGAATCTTCTTACGGTTGAGCGTCTACTTTGAGGTTTTTATGTGAATGAATGAAAATTAAATTGGCATGTGTCAAGACAGTGTAGCGGCAGGTAGCAGAACACTAGCACAGTAATTCTGCAAGTTGTAGGACTGGCTTCTTCTTTGGAGATAATAACTGGAAGGCTGAGAGCACTTGGTGAGCTAACATGTGTGAAGCATCATGCTAAGAGCTAGCACTAAGCCTTCAATATATGTTCACCACCATCACCATCATTTTAATCTTATGTATGAATCTGCAGCACACGAGTGCAGAGCACAAGGAAGACAGAAGCAAGCATCAGATACCCAGGACCTGGAGTTACAGACCCATTGTGAGTGTCCATGAGGTGCTAGACACTGTTCTGTCACAAGAAGAGTTCCCTATCACCCTCTCTCCAGCTCCACTATTATTCACCTTTCAAATGAACGCTAATGACCTTCAAGAGAAGAACAGGGGGCCAGCCTGGCGCTCTGCATAGCCACACCCTTACCTCTTTACTTCTTGCACGTAGTCGGCATTCCTGTCAAAGAGGTGGGTCACAGAATCTTTGATGGCTTCGTGCTTGAAAGTAGAGGCTGTTCCAAAGACGGTCACATTGGGAATGGTTGAACACAGCTGAGCCACCGCTTGACCCTGGAGATGACACACGGTAATCACATCACACTTGAACACCACCATTCTGAGAGAAGTATTACCTAACATGGGTCAAGAACACGGCACAAAACATGACTTTTTACAGACACTTATAAACACAGTAAATCTTGTCTAATAGCCAGTCTAGCTGAGCAGAAAGTAGAATTTCTCAACTTTGGTATAGTTGACTTTTTTTTTATTTATTGGATTGATTTTTTTTTTTTTTTTTTCAGTTAAGGGTGTAGGATATTTATCAGCATCCTTGGCTTCTACCTTCTTGAGATAATGAACGTCTCCAGATCAACTGTGTGACAGCCAAACATGTGTTCAGACATTGTCTCCTGAAGGACAGAAACTTGCCTTGGCTGGCAACAACTTGTGTAGGGGGAAAGTCAACAGGAGCTAGAGAACCCCGGCTCTGAACTATTATTTAACCATGGTGAGCTAAATCTCAGCAGTAATGCTACCCGCTCCACAGCAATCCTGGTGAATGTCTTAGTTTGGCTTTAAGAAGCAGATTCTGAACAATGACTTGAATATAAATATTTTATTTGCAAGATAACCTTAGATACTAACAGGATTAAGACCCAAACATGGAGTCAGCAAAATGGCACATCCTGTAAGTGCATGGCTTGCAAAACCAAGAACCTGAGTTTAATCCCCAGAATTTACATTCAGAAAAGGGAGGGGGCAAAGAAAAGAAAGAAAAGCAAAATGGTGCTCATGGAGGAGCATGCTTGTAACCTTAGTGCTGGGGGAGGTAGAGACAAGAGAATTCATGCTGGACAGCCATGCTAGCCAACTGAACATGTTCTAGGCCAACAAGAGACACTTTTTCAAAAGATATACGAATGGGAAACTGAGGAACAACATGTAAGATTGTTCTCAGACCCCATGCAAAGAACACATATGTGCACATGAGCCTACACATACACATAAGTAGAAACACACCCACATACATACACACACACACACGCAAACACACACACACACACACACACACATTCTCTTTACATACAAAAAGATACAAAAGAAAACCAGATGATTTAACCCAATAGCTCAGCTCAACAGTAGATAGCACTTAAGGAGAAACAAAATCCCCCAAAGAAAGAGCTGACCATACACGTATTATGAGATTATCAAATTATCTGCCATGGACACCCAGAGCTCAGTCTCTCTGACACCTCCACGATCAAGAGCCCACCCAACCCATTTCTTTGTACTGACAGAGAACTCCTTCTATAGGAGTAACTCTTGACATGTCTGGTGTGTCCTCGTGAGTCAAGTGTGCTCCATGGCTAGACTGAAGCACACAGCAAGTCACAGGCAGCATGTTGTGTGTGGAGCAGATACAGCTGACTAACAGTGTCTCATAGGGAGGGGTTAAATGAGGTATTATACCAGACTAAGGACCTGGGACTAAATGTGATTCTGACTACCTACTCAATCTTAATCATCTCTCCCCCTTGGGGGTTTATTATATCCAGAGCTAAAGATGGCCAGTCAAATAAAAAGGTCAACATGGGCTTTAAATGGTAAATGGTTTGGGGGGGGGAAACTAATGCAGTTAAGAGGTAGGTGATTTGTGTCTCCTTCTACTAATATGGTCAACATTTAAGACATTGAACAAAATTATGTAAATCTGTGCATCTCGAAACTTTCCAGTAAAACCCAGTTTGCTGGTAATTAATGTGTGTGTGTGTGTGTGTGTGTGTGTGTGTGTGTGTGTGTGTGCAGCCATTGCTCTCCGGCATCCCATTTACCATCTGAAGGAGGGAGATTTTTCTACCACAGCCGTTGCTGCCTATCATCTTATTTTCATGTCTTCATGTTGGTGAGTAACCCGAGTTGGCAGGTCAATTTACGGAAATGTTATCTTACCACCTTTTCCAATTAAAGTCACGATGGAGAGATTCCTAGAATGTCAGAGTTGGAATATCACCCCATGTCTCCTTCCCCAGCACTGTCTGACAGATGAGAGAAAGGCCCAGGCCTCTCAGTTTTTCAGAGGCATGGCTGGGACTCAAACCAAAGACTTCCCAACTGCATTCGTTTCCATTTTCTGGTATTCTAGACTGCTAACTTATTTTGAGATTTTAAGCTAGGCAATTTTAATCTGCTGCCTGAAGTAGATATGGCATGATCCCTGGTAGCTCAACATTTCACAACATGGACATTAACCTAAGACTCTACACAGGTCACAGTTCTCTAAATATAGTTTTAGTATTTATTTAATGTTTCATTCCAGATTTCATAGGACGATGAGGGCTCTGTCTTCTAAATGAGCATAGATATCATCAGCCAGTGAATGCACTGACTCCAAGTTCACTGACCTCATGTCAGCCTTGGCTACATCTCTGACTTGATATGGCTTGAACACACCCTGACAGTGATGGAAGAGGTTACAATTAACTTTAACATCCCTGCCACCCCTTCTTCCCTGTCTTTGGGCCAATGTGACATTTATTCATTCAACTATTTTCCAAACCCCCATTGTTAGTTCAATGCTATTGACATCTGTCTCCATCTGATGGATTCCCCCAGACAACACATCAAATTCATCTGACCCCAAAACACAAGTCATGACCACCTTGAAAACGGACTGATCTTTAAATCAGTTTTGTCAGGAACGCCAAAAGACTGACGAGATACACTGGGTGTGTTTCATGATAGAAGCTTGTTTTCCTGCCCTTTGTAACTCTTTCCAAATCAAGGTGCTGATTCCTCCTTTAGGTCACAAGGGAGATTTCTGCTCCAGGCTGCCCTCCTTGGCCTGCAGATGGCTACCCACTGTCCCTGTCTCTTCGTCTTCCCTCTGTGCTGGTTTCTTCCGTACAAATTTCCCCCCTCACTTGAAGATGCCACTGCTTTGGATTAGGGACCATTTAAAGATCACACTTTAGTTTGATGGCTACTTCTATAAAAATCCTGCTATAACTTGAATTAAAAAATATGGCAAAGACATATGTGATCAAGGCTTATTTCCCAGGCTGCAGTGTGGCTGAGAAGTGGTATCACCTTGAGGGTAGAGATTTTGGGGAGTTTTCATGTCGCTGTCAGTAATGGTAGCGTTTGAAGGGGACGTGGGGACCCTGGGCTTCCATCTCTCTTGCTTCATGACTGATTATGGTATGGATAGCTTTATTCTACCATGTTCTCCCACCATGATATTCTAGTTCAAAACAGTCCTAAAATGGCAGTGTCGTAGCATTAGGGGGCTATGGTTGTTCGTGAGATCTGTTGACTGAAATCAACATACAGGCATGACTCTATATAATGTAACATTGAGTATTATGCATAAAAAATAATATGTGTATATAACACATATTACATATATAAAAGTACATAGTTAGAATTCTGTATAATTATATATTGAGAATAAATATATTTGTATAGTTAGTGCTATATACATAAAGACATTTACATATAATTAATAAATAATGTAGAACATTTAGGGGCTGAAGAGATGGGTAAGCAGGTAAGAATGTGTGTTGACTTCCTCTTTTTGTCTCCTTGGGCATTCTCATGTACATGCACAGACAGACAGACAGACACACACACACACACACACACGCACACACTCTTAAGACCAATCTTAAAAACTTAAAAAAGAATATTTAATTAGCAATAGACAATCAGGATTCTTTTAATAATATCTGTATACTGTATAAGTATGAATATGATATAACACATCATTATGTAAGTAAGAATGGTCGCAAAGCAGAACTTGAGCTGTTTGTAGCCGTTTAGCGTCCCATCAGCTCACTGAGATGATTAGAGACTCCTATACAATCTTAATGATTTTCTTAAAAGTAAATACCGCTCTGTGTTCTGTAGTTAAGCATCTCTCCTCCCAGTTATAGGAAATCTGTCCTCTGCTTTCTCTTGCTCCCCAGGTAATGCAAGATCAGCAGCTCATTCATTCTTCCGTTTCCCAGGTAGCCTAGGAATCGCAGGGACTCAATAAACATTTGTGGGGAATGGAATGACTTCTCAATAAAAAGGATTTTGCAATTTACCTGCAGACCCGTGGCATTAAATGAACAACACAATCCATGTTCCTGGCAGCAGTAATAAACAGAGTTATGCACATGCCTGTTTTAATTGACTCTCCTTCCCTCTTAGGGACAGGAGCATTCTGCTCCAAGCATCTCTGTCCTTCTCTATGGCTAACAATGCAACAGTAATAGCAGTTGTGCTTCCTTTTGTCCCTTCATGAGCCAGGCACTAAAGGCTTTGTTAAATCCTTAAACCCCTCTAAAGCAATTTTTGTTTCTTATTTAAGCCTCAAAATGGGCATTCAGAGTGTTGGGCCTAGTGAATGAGAAAGCCACATGTCCAGACTTTAAGGTCATCTACCCTGCTAGTAGTTTTTCCATCTGTCCATCTGATCATGTAATCTGATGACCCAGGACCTGACCTTTTAGCAGTTCGATCTTTTGGCAACACAGTATGATGCTACTATCTACAGATGTGTTTCACTGCATTCATAATCATCCTCAGATGCATTCAGCCTGTGGGTCACTGATTACATGCACCTAGCTTGGATTCTTGGAGATACTGCAGTTCTTGGCCTCAATCGCAAAGGTTTCACTGGTCTACTCTAGAGAGCTGGCTCTCAGGGTATAGATGTGAATAGGTTTCTAGCACTATTTCTGTCATTCCATTACCACAAGGTTACTGGAGCCTCTCATCACACCCCAAAACAGAGAACAGGAAGTCCAGGGATAATCATGAGGAAATGTTTCCGGTCCCCATGACTCTGAATAACAAACACAAAGGCAATGGAAGCCAAGATCCTGCTGTAGAAAAGCCAGGAGCAGTAAGCAAATGGTTAGAGGAGCGGTAGGATTAGCCTTTGGCGTGGTCCATACTGAGTGCTGGATAAGCAACAGCCTTTAGCTATAGTTTTGGAGATGGGAAGAAGTTCAGTGGAATTCGGAAAGTGAGTGATGAAGCCGTGATCTCATCAGAGCACTGAGATTCAGGATCAGCACCAG